GCGAGGGGCCAGCCTGGGTTCTGTGGCGTCCCCCGCCTGGATTTGCTCTGGAATTAACCTCTTGGAGGCCCCACTGCGGATGGGCCCCACAGCACCAGCCGGCCTTTGACCTGCCCTGGCATGTGATCCAGCCCTTCCATTCCCCAGCCGCATGCGTCTGACTCAGGAGCGGGGACCTCTCTGGCCTGCGCAGGGTGGGGCCTGAGGCCAGCGTAGAAGGTCTGGGTGTGGGGAGAGCCCTGCCTTGGGGGGCTGGAAGTCTGAGGGGAGCAGGAGGGAGATGGGGTCTTGTGTTTACAGCAGGGGGGGCTGGGAGCCAGGACTCCTGGGTTCTCTCCACAGCTCTGGGGAGGCAGTGGGGGGAGGGGTCTTGTGGTTACAGCGGGGGGCTGGGAGCCAGGACTCCTGGTTCTATCCCCAACTCCGGGAGGAGAGTGGGGTGTAGTGGTTAGAGCAGGGGGCTGGGAAGCACCTTCCCTCTCCAGAATTATATTTAGTCCGAGGGAATTCTCCCTGCGCTGACGCATCCTCCCAGAGCCACCTTGGTTTCCTCCCTGCCAGCAGCCGGGTGGGTGGAATCATTGTTTGATCTCGCAGGAGCCGGGTTATTCCGGGCTTGCAGCTTCCTATAAATAGCCTGGAAACGCTGCTGAGATCCGCAGACAGTGTCATAATTTCACGGGGCGCCTCAAATGTGCCACGCAACAGAACTGCCTGGGAACGGGACCCAGGAGTCCTGGCTCCCAGGCCCCGCTCCCTATGCCAGAGCCAGGGCCAGAACCGACTCCTGACTCCCACTCCTGTCCACGCGAACCCGTGTCTCCGTCGCGCGGGGCGGGAAGGGCTCAGCACAGAGAACCCTTGTCGTTTGGTAGTGCAAAGCCCCGTGAATGTCAGCGTACACAGCGGGTTCATTCAAGGAGTATTTAATGCTGGCTCTGGAGGGTAGGGAGGGGGTTCTCTCCCCAGCTCGGGGGGGGGGGGGGGGGTGTAGCGGTTACAGCAGAGGGGACAGGAGTCAGGACTCCTGGGTTCTCTCCCCAGCTCGGGGAGGGGCGGGGTGTAGTGGTTACAGCAGGGGGGACAGGAGTCAGGACTCCTGGGTTCTCTCCCCAGCTCATACAGGAGCAGTAGGGAGAATTCACCCCCCCCCACTACTGACTAACCCTACCCGATGTGCCCCAGCCTGGCTGTAGGACCCCCTCGAGGGGCAGAGAGGCTCAGGTTCCAGCTCCTCCCCACTTTCCGTCCCAGGTCCCACTTTCCGTCTCTGAATCTCTCCAGCGAATCCTGGATTAGCAGGCGCAGTCGGGGGGGGGGGCTGGAACGTTGACTCAGATCAAGGGGATTTCAGGGGCGTCTCTCGGGTGACCCTGAGCAGCTGATGCTCTCTGATTATCCCAGCTTGCCCTCTGGGCTGCGACTCCTTGCAGCTGGGCTAGTGTCTGGGGCCAGCTGGCCAGCGGCTTCTGGAGCTTCGTGCCAGGGAGGGCGGCTGGCTGGCCCTAGGGCAGCAGATCAGCTGGAGCTTGGACGTATGTACATGGGGAAGGACGCTGGGCGCTGGAGGGAGGACGGAGCCTCCCGTCTGGGCCCTATGTCACCTGGGCGAGGCCCTGGGCCTTGTGTCCAGGGGGAAGGTCCTTGACCTTTGCCCCGTCTCTCAGACTGCGCCAGGCACGTGCTCCGGCGTCCCCATGACGCCCTCCTCATCATGGGTGTAGTTTGGGTGGGGGTTGGGGGCACTGTCCCCCCAAATTGCAGGTCTCAGGCAGGCGTGGAATTTGTCCCCCTATGCGCGGCCCCATTGGCCTGACTGGAGCTGCCCCCCCAAATACAGAGCTATGCCTATGCTCACTCAGGCGCCATGCACCGGGGGACTGACCTCTCGGGGCGCTACAGCCATACAGGAGCCCCCTGATCGCTAGCCTGGTGGCCAACTGCCGTGAGAGCCCCGGCCAGGTAGCTCTGCCAGGGCCCCTCAATCCCAACCCACAGCCATTTGCTATTCCAGCCCTGGCTCCCCCTCAACCCCCGCCCTTAGCCCTGTGGTGCCCCTCAATCCTGACCTGCAGCCCCCTGCTAGCCCAGCCCTGGGCTCCACCTGCATCAGCTCTGCTGGGGCCCCTCAATCCTGGCCCACAGCCCCCCGGCTATTCCAGCCCTAGGCCTCAGGTTCACTTTAACTTCCAAGCAGTCCAGGGTTGCTGGGTGGGGCCAGGCGCGGCAGGGTTAAGCGCCTGGCTTGTATTTGGCTTCCTAATCAGCCGGGGCGTGATTGAAGGGTGCGCTGCAGTGTGACTAGAACTGCGGCTGGTTATGGGTCGGTCGCGTCACATGACTGCGGGGGTGGGGGGAAGGAGCTGTGGGTCATCGGGCAGCCGTTTCTCCATCACACTCTTAATAATCAACTTTGCTGCTCGGAGCCGCTTCCGACACGTGCGGGGAGGGAGAGAGCCACAGTCGCTCAACCCCCCCCGCCCTGCGTCCCCGCGCCCAAGTTCCCCTTTTCAGAGCCTGATAAAATGTCCCCGTTGGCCCAGCGTCCTCAGTGGCGACCGGACGGCTCGCAGGTGGCACCAGGAGGGCTCCCCGACGGCAGGCGGGGGCATCTCTGAGACCGAAGCCGGCAGGGTTCGGTCCCTGACAGCGCCACTTTCCCCTCGGCGCCCGGCGGCGAAACTGACCAGTGTAAGTGACGCTCCTTTGCCAGCTTCATCAGCGTTGCAGCCGGCGGCCTCTTCCCAGCCCCCGCCCGGGTCTCTGCCTCTGTCTCCTTTGCATTTTCTGTCTCCTTCACCTGTTTCCTGGTTCACCCTCTTCCTGTTCGGCGATGGAGGCGCTTTGGCCTTGTTTCGGCTCCAGCCCGCAGCTGTCCTGACATGCCAGAGGCGTAGCAGCTAGCAGTCTGTCACCGTGGGATCTGGGCTCCTTCCATGTCAAAGCATCCCTGGTTCCTGGCACTTTTCCCCTTTCAGGCTCAAGCCTCTGGCTTGGGGCAGGTTTTTATTAAATCTGTATTGGATCGGAACCGCCCCAGGCTAGTGGGCTGCTAGATTTTCTGCAGGTGGGAATTTTTGGTAAGCTCTGGCATATTTCAGTGGGAACGGCCCAGAGATGGGCTGGGACTGCCCAGTTCTGATCCAGTGCTGGACTGGGACCAACCCCAGCAATCTGGGGGTGCTGGGAGGAGCGGACAAGTCACCAGGCTGCGAGGCAGGACTCCTAGGATTTTTTTTCTGGCTCTGTCACTTCCCTGCTCTGTGCCTGTTTCCCTGCCCCTCTTTTAGCTAGTTAGGTTGCAGGTTCTTCAGGCCAGGGCCAGTCTCTCTGCCAGGAGTCTGTACAGCGCCTGGCACAATGGGGGCCCTGATCCTGGTTGGGGT